GGTTCTTTGAGTAGATGTGTCTGTGAATTCCATTTAGGCGTGTGCATGCTCAGTGCGCTGATGCTGGAGAACTTTGCCTATGGATGGTATCTGTAGGAGTGATGCTTGTATCTTATCGCCCTACTCTCTCTCCTGGCTATATAATGATGGTACTGCCCCAAGCTACCTCAGTTCCTTCCCCTCACCCAGGGCTAGAGCCAGAGCCCTGTATAGTGTGTTCTCTTCTATTTTCAGTGTCATTTAACTGAAAGATTTTCCTTTGCACAGTAGTTAGTAGTCCCTTAGGTTAAATTTAGTGCTATTAAAGTATTTAAGTAGTGGGCTTCCCTGTGTGTTGCCTTCACCAGAATTCAAACATTGTCCGTCATGTAGGAGGGCCCTCCTTAATAGTGATCTCCACGGGAGGTGCTTTTGTATCTAGTTGAGGTACACATTGAGGAATGGTACTCCATCTGTAAGTCATTCATAAAAACGATTAGGATGAAAGAGATATTATGTGCAAAGCAGCACCTTCTGAAGAAGACCAAGAGGCCGATTGAGATCCCTTGTCTTATTGGTGGTTGCTTTCATGACCAGCAAGTGATGCTGCTCCACATTTGGATTCTGGTTATTCCCCCAAGAGAAAGAGGAGTCATTATTCCTTCTTTAGTGCAGCAAGGAAGATATTGTTAGAGAAGAAACAGGCGACCCAGGAGCAGATGGAGTAAACGGAACCGCTTTATTGTCTACTCATGTTTACCTTGGATATTGAACACAATGTCCGAGTGGCTGGGTAAGCGATAGCTTGGATGCTGGTCAGCTCCAAACCTCAGTGAGATTCGAGGGCGGGGGGACCTCTCCTGTGGTCAGACAATATCTTATCTCTTGGACTGCTGTACAGGACCTTTCCACTGCCAAAGAAATCTTGGAGCAGCGTGGTCTCATTGAACCTGCAGCATCCTGTGCCAATGTCCCACATTGGGCTCCAGATGTTAGACAAGAAATAGGCGACCCAAGAGCGACTGAAGTAAACGTGCATAGGCAATAAAGTGGTTCTGTTTACCCCATCCGCTCCTGGGTCACCTGTTTCTTCTCTCAGATATCTCATAAGATTAATTGGAAGCACACTAGCACTCAAGGAGGCTCTTCCTCCTCTTCTCAGAGTGCTGACCAGCACTGAACTCTTTCCAACATGTGGGATGGAGCCGATCCCTGGTACTACACTGAGATCAGCGCAAGACTTTCCTGTTGATTCGGACCCTGGGGTGTCTGTTAAGGCCATACTGGTAATATTGGCACCTGTGTTTGTCTCCACATTGGTGACATCAGTGTCAGACTTGCTTTGGCACTCAGTTCCTGACTCTCCATTACTTCAGGAGTTTTCCAGTGCCATAGCATCTACCACTTTATCCTCCATTATATCTTTGGCCCCATCTGGCTGCATTGCAGAGCAATTGGGTTCATTAGCGCCTCAACACCACTGCCTGGGTACGTCTAAACTACATGCCTCCGTCGACGGAGGCATGTAGATTAGCCAGATCGGCAGAGGGAAATGAAGCGCGATTAAAATAATCGCGGCTTCATATAAATTTAAATGGCTGCCCCGTTCTGCCGATCAGCTGTTTGTCGGCAGATCGGGGCAGTCTGGACGCGCCGTGCCGACAAAGAAGCCTTTCTTGATCGGCACAGGTATGCCTCGTGGCACAGGTAGTCTAGACACACCCCCTGTGTCCCAAACTGTGGAGTTGAGGCTGATGCTGCACTAGTATCAGGGACCCCTTTAATGCCGGTATGCCTTTTGGCACTGTCATTGCACTTTAGGAGGTCTCATTGTCCAGTTTGGTACCATCCAGAGCCTTGAGACTGG